ATTTGCAAAATCTCCACAAATGTGGACATTTATGCCATGGCCTACCTTGTAGGTTCGACACGAGGGGTTGAAAGCATTTGTTCCGCAAACAAACAGGGTGTCATCACTTTGCTGCAGCAGGACTTTGATGAAATTATGACACTCATCCTTCAGGGAGCGCAGGAAAGACAAAGAGAAGAGATGAAGACCATCATGACATTTGAAGCTATTTACTTTCACACTAATAGCCCCATGTGGTTTATAGAACCAGAGGCTTTTTATTCATCTCTCTTCTGAGGCAAAGCACGCAGAGTAAGTGAGGGGCATGTGTAACAAACACTGAGCCTCTGATCTCAATACACAGCATTTCCTTATGACATACAATATTCACAGAGGAACTGAATGTCTAATATAGTGGCATTGTAAGGCAATAGTATATTAGGGTTTCATTTTGAAATATGGATTTTTAATTAATGTACACTACAAATCATAAGAGCAAAACTAATACAAACCATTTGTATGCTACTGTACCTTCAGGTTTTATTTATGTGTGTGTGTGAAACAACTCAGTGATTTACCTTTTTTCGGCATTAAAAAATGTGTGATTGAATTGTCTTGAAAAGCATAAAGTGATGCCTGTTCTGAAAATGTAGTAAGGTTGAAAGTTCAGCTATTGGATGATTTATCTCTACCTTATGCTTTCCTTTCATTCTGCAGGTGTCCACATCTGCCTGTCTGGACTTCCATGTCATTTTCTGGAGAAAAAAGAACAAACAAATAAGTTGAACATTAAGGTTGAAGGAAAAAAAACGGACTGTACTATGCAGCTCAATAAGTCAGATAATCTTAGATTCCCTCTCACCGATTCCCCTCTTAAGTCACCTTCTTGGAAGGTGAACTTTACACTAAACACCGTGTGAAGATCAGTTTTCCTCCTTGAAAATGTAATTCTCTGCCAGCGAGGAGGAAATACGATAGTGACCCCGGAGCGGAGCACAATCTGTCCAAGGACACATCCCAACCCATCTCCCACACACTTATCAATCACCGCTGAGCCACCGACACGAACACAAAACCACCGTCCCTTCCCCGTGTGGCCTGAGGGTCAGCGCGGAGCCACCGGTTCACATCACCACCTCTGTTGTAGGCTGTTGTACAACTTGTTTGGAGCTCAGCTACTGATTAAAGACCCTCAGTCATCAATCAATCTGTGCGTCTCCATCCAGCCTTTCATCTGCAGCCTGCTCTCATTAAGAAACACTCACCAGGCTTTGACATTGGAGGGGAGGAGGAGGAGGAGGGCAGACGGGTGGTTGTATACATGAAAAAGGCCTCGTTTGAATGCTATTTTCATGCATTATGTTGGGGGCAAGCAACACCGGAGAGAGGTAGTTTGAATGGAGTTATTACAGCGTTTTAAGATATCAGAAACTTTAGTTTTATACAGTAATAGTTTTTCCTCTTCACGTCCATCTTACCTTTGAGGTCTGTGCACTTGTGCAATCAGTTTAGTCTGTTTGTTTTTCTCTCTATAGTTTTCCTTCCTTGTTCCTATCTTTCCGCCCATTTTCTACTCGTTGGCTCTGTCTCAGCTTCTTTTACACACCCTTTAGACCTTCCGCTGTCCCACTGATGTGGGCGTATGACGCAGGAACTTTGATCAGTGGCTGATTGGATAATCGTCTTATTGGGGTCACAACGGAAAGCTTGCGGGGCAGTTGGACGGGCAGTTGAGTAAGAGGGCACAGACCTTTTTCCCACGTGCGCACACACACACACACCGAGCTGAGTTATTAGGGCTACTCTGTCTATCGCAGGACACTGAGAACAACACAGTCCTCAAAGAGCCCGACATCTCACTCACCTTGCTGAAAAAGATCTCGTCACTGTTGGCAGTGTCTGTGTCCACCGTGTATATGTGATCCCTGCCGGCAGAGGAAGGGGGGGGGGGGAAGGAGGGAGTGAGAGAAACCAGAGAGAAGACAAGATAAGAGGTCAGACAGCAAAAGTCAAAAATTCAACTCACAATAAGCCAGTTTCTGTTTGTCCTGTTCTCTTTTACGCCCGCAGGCAGCAGACGACATCAGGGAAAAAAATGAGGCGTTGTATAAAGTTTGTTCAAACTTAAAGAAATGACAATAAACAAAAGGGGGCCAGAGCTATTTGCTCTGTCAGACAGAAACAGTCAACAAAGGTTTAGAGCGCCG